TTTTTTTTAGATATATAAGTCTAATCGCTTTAGCACCTGAAAGGTAACTTTTTGAAAATTTTGAAAATGGAAAATAACTCTAATAACAACCCACCCTCTCCTTATCCGGCTGTCCCTACCAATACAACCCGCTCTCATTATAATTCAAATGATATCGCTGGTCCTCATCAACCATCTCAACCATCTCATAACGATGATTCTGATTCTGACACATCCACTAGATCTATAAGAAGTGCACATAATACTTTTTCCGTAATGAGTGGTAGAAGTAGGCAATGCCAATTATCCCTTCCAACCCAATCAAGACAATCCAGACAATCCAGACAATCCAGACAATCCGCCTAACAAACTTCTTCCAGGCAACCATTATCTTCCAAACAATCTGTCTAGCAAACTTATTTTAGGCAACCATCGCCTTCTCAACCTACCTCACGTCATACATCGCGATCGTTATCGCCGCAGCCACAGCAAACACGTAGAAGATCGGCATCGCCTGATCATCGATCTTCCAATCAAAATCAGTCACATAATCATGACAATAATCAAGATGGTATAAAAAGGTTTTTTTTTTTTTTTTTTTGATTTTTGAATGCCAATCTTCTGATCTAATTTTTTTTTTTTTTTTTTGAAACTTTTTTTTTTTTGTTACCTTTGATACCTGTTATCTTATTTGAGCTCGTTCAAGTTGCCATCACCGGGAAGCTGAGAACCGAGAACGTCTCTTCGCTCAGAACCATCAAATATACCTCCTGATCAGACAGTTAAGCGATGATTTTCAAGATCTTAGGAATGAAATGCGGCAAAGAAACGTTTAAGGCACTCAAGGCATTCAAGGCGAGGATCTTTCGGCCAAAGTATGGGATATAAGTATTGTAGAAAGCAAGAGTAATTTAGGGCATATTTTGAGCGCTTTTTTTTTGGCATATTTTGAGTGCTTTTTTTTTTACATTTTCGCAGGAAGTATATATTAGCGTTGTCAAATACCTTTTCCCGCGTGTAATATATTCCACCCAAGATGAAATAAAAGAGTCTCTTAAGGACTACTTGAACGAAAAGTTCCCTGAATTCGTGGCAAACTTAAGTGCTAACGATTTTGCAAACTGGTTCTATGGTGTGTGGTGTTCTCAGGTAAGCAATAATATTTGACACCTGTATATATCGTTTTATATTATTATCAATCGTTTTCAATAGATCTAAGTATTTTTTATGGTACTCAATCTCCAATAGCTCTTACAAAAAATGAAGAACCTGCATGGTTCAGCGTTGCAGAACGTACGTTCGGCAATTTGGAGTATATTTGGCCATGAAAGGCTTCCTCGCCTTAGAAGCAATGCTAGTGCTGAGGATATAGTAAGGTGGAAGCAAAGCCAAGAAGTGTACAATTGCTATTGTGCGCTCTATAAGCAAGATGATAAAGGTGTTTTCTGGGTTGCAGTTATTGCAAGAACTGCATTCACCATGGCTACTGCCCTACTCTTACAAACCATCATTGTGCCTTCACACTAGCTGTGTGTGACATTATATTAAATCCCCAATCGAAAAATCTCGTCTGTAGCGAAAGTCGAATTAAGCGTTGCATGGTGTGCTATTTGGTAAGTATTTGTAACATATCGATTGTAACTACAAAATGAATATTAACCTTTATTATACTAGAATGACTTTGATAACAGTGGTCCTAATCAAGAATCAGCCAACACAATCATTAATAATGAGCTTGCTTCAGGCTCTCACAAAGCTGAACAATTAACACAAACACAATCAACGCAGGCCAATTCCAACACTGAACCTGACCTCCATACAACTTCCCTGTCCTGAAGTAATTTTTTAATTCTTTCGCAGAATACACAGAATGAATTGTTTGGAATCTATTAGTGGCATTTTTTTTTTTTGTAATTTTTTATGTATTGCATGCAAAATGTATCTCATATGTATAAAATAAATTGTATTCCATTTAAACATATAAATATTATTCGCTTTAAGTTGATAAATATAAAAATGAATCGCTGTAATATTTAATATAATGATTTGTATATATCGATCCTAATATTATGAGTTTAGCTGTACATATCGATTAGAATCGTCTTAGGGCTATGTATCGATTATAATCGATATATAACCTAAAATGATTAGAATCGTGTTAGGTTATATATCGATTATAATCGTCTTAGGTTATATATCGATTTAT